GAAAATGTAAAATGGTTTTACCTAACCCTTTCGACGTCTAAAGAATCGAAACATACCTGAAATATACCACTAAATAATGGAATGATGAAAGGAGAAAAGAAAATGGTTATGATTATAGAAAAAATAATAATAATAACAAAGGTGAGAGACCAACTGAACGAACAATAACAAAACAGATTTTTTTTTTTCTTTTTTCTTTTTTTTCGCTTATCAGATGTTGCTATCATGATACAGATATATGATATATTTCACTATATTTGAAGCCAGTAGTTATGATCAACAAAAAAATAATAATAATGATAATGAAAAATAATAATGATAATGAAAAGGGAAGGAATGCATGAGGAAAAAATGTCTTTAGTAAATAGTTAGGATTCTTTTCAATAGATTATTCATATCCTCTTTATCTTTATTATCATTCTTATCGTTATCATGTTTATCATCTTTATCAATATTATTATTACCGTTTTTATTAGTATTATCACTATCATTATCATTATTATTACCATTATCGTTGCTATCATTATTACCACTACTACTACTGTTTTCATTATCATTATCATCATTATTATCATATTTATCAGGTATTAACGAATACTAATTACTAATATAGTGTTTAATATTAATTTCCCTTCTTAAACCCAAGTACAGCTAAAAGTAAAACATATATTTACTGCAATTACCATTTTATTCTTAAAATGATAAAACGTTTTACTGAGATAAGAGATAAGATTCAGTCGGCAGAAGAGACACAAGTCACTGAGTAAAAAAAAAAAAAAAAAAAAAAAAAAAAAAAAAAAATCAATTACAATTTATTCTTTGTAAACAAATCCAAGCGTGGGTACTTTAAGCCTTATCTCGTTTCATTTGATTACCGCATAATAGGATATTTTTCAATTAAATCAATCGCCAGTTTATTGTATTGTAGGCAGGTATAGTTCATGCTGTAACGTAGCTAATTGTACAATCAAATTTTTTTCTAAGTATAAACATGATTACTGAGATTTTTAGGTATTTGGTTTAATCGTACACACGCACACTGACTTAAATTCACAAACATAAACATACACACACACACGCGCGCGCGCTCGTAAACTAAAATAAAAATAAAATAAAAATAAATTAATTAATAATTAAAATGATTAAAAAACACACGAAACCGAGAGAAAAAAAAAATATTGAAAAATCAAACAGCTGTTGCCATGGAAACCGAGACGCGTCCGAGCACCTCGACCGCCACGAATCTTTGAGGAAAAGTCCCCCACGCGATAGCCAACACGTAACGATTGGAGGAGCTGTCAGTCGGGCGATGTAACCCCACCCACCCCTCCCTCCCCTTCACCCAAACCCCCTCCCCCCTTCCCTCCCCCAACACCTACCCCCTCTCTCTCACCCACACACTCCCTCTCCCCCTTCACCCTATCTGCCGAACCCCAACCCCTCCCCCCTTCCCTCCCCCAGCACCTAACCACCACTCCTCACACCCACACTCCCTCTCCCCCTTCACCCTATCTGCCGAACCCCAACCCCTCCCCCCCTTCCTCCCCCTTCCCTCCCCCAACACCTAACCCCCCTCTCACACCCACACACCCCCTCTCCCCCCTTCACCTTATCTCCCGAACCCCAACCCCTTCCCCTTCCCTCCCCCCTTCCCTCCCCCAACACCTAACCCCTCTCTCTCACCCACACACTCCAACCCCCACTCGTTCTCCCTCACACTTCATATAGACATAGCATCTCCATCTCGCGTCTTCTTTGGCCCAGACCTCCGTCGCGTCACTTCCAGAGGAGGACTTTGTTTCTAGGAGAGACTTTCCTTTTAGGAGACTTCACTTCTAGAGGGACTTCACTTCTAGAGGGACTTAACTTCTAGAGGGACTTCACTTCTACAAGAGACGTTCACTTCTATAGGAACTTCACATCTAGAAGAAACTTTACTTCTAGGAGACAAACTTCTAGAGGAACTTCACTTCTGATTAGACCACTTCTTCAAAAGAAAGAAACTTCTAAAGAAACTTCACTTCTAAAGAAACCACTTCTAGAGAAACTTCACTTCTAAAGAAACTTCACTTCTAAAGAAACTTCACTTCTAAAGAAACTACACTACCACAGGAGACTTCATTCCCAAGTGAGACTTCCAAAGCCAACTCAACTTCCAGCCGTGACTTCACTAGTGCAAATTTCACTTCCAGAGGAGACTTCACTTGTGCAAATTTCACTTCCTTCACTTCCAGGCAAACTTCACAGCCACAGGAGACTTCACTTGTGCAAATTTCACTTCCAGAGGAGAGACTTCACTTCCAGGGCTCCAAAATTTCACTTCCAGAGGAAACTTCACCAGAGAGAGAGACTTCACTTCCAGGCAAACTTCACTTCACACTTCCAGAGGAAAACTTCACTTCCAGGCAAACTTCACACAGGAGACGTCACTGAACTTCTTGAAGATGTTGACTTCGAGGATATTACGTGTTGCTCGCTGTTCCTCCTCCTTGGTGGCCAGGATCTCCCCAAAGGTAAGAATAATAATAATAATAATAATAATAGTAATAATAATAAATGAAAATAAGAACATAAAAAAATGATAAGTAAATAAATAATAATAATAATAATAATAATAATAAATGAAAATAAGAACATGAAAAAATAATAAATAAATAAATAAACAAATTTGGTTAAGTGTGGGATAGGCCTACTTCCGGTGGTAGGCCTACTTCCGGTGGTAGGCTGTTCGGTGATTCGCGCGCGTATGTGAATTTGCGAAGGGGAAGCTAGCTCAGTAGCAACTCGAGGAGGTCATGGCATCCCACAAGGGCTATTTTGATGCTTGTTCAATGGGAATATAGCCATTAGAATCATTATTTTCCGTCCTTTTGGAAAATTTTAGAGACCAAAATGATCGACTTTTATTTAGAGACCAAAATGATCGACTTTTTTATTTTATTTAGAGACCAAAATGATCGACTTTTATTTAGAGACCAAAATAATCGACTTTTTTTTTATTTTATTTAGAGACCAAAATGATCGACTTTAATTCGTAACTTTTGTGACGTCATCAAAATAAACCCCCATGTGCTTTTTTTTCCCAAAATAGAATCAGATGTCATGACACCTCCTTGATTTGCTACTGATCTAGCCTTTCCCGGGAGTTCATTCAGAATCTGTTTGATTTGATTTTTATTTTATTTCTTTTGTTTTGTTGTTCTTCTTATTATCACATTCTTTTTTATTTCGTTTGTGTGGTTAATGGCAAGTGATATTATTTTTTATTATCATTTTTATTTACTTTATTTTTATTTATCATTATTTTTTATTATGTTATATTATTATTATTATCTATTTATTATTGGCGATATTAATCCTCGTTATTATATCATTATTACTTTCATTATCAATATCATCATTGTTATCATTATCATTACATTATCATCATCATGATTATTATCGTCATTATTATAATTATCAGGATAATACTTATCATCATTATTGTTATTGCACTGTGAATATCATATTCATTATCTTACGGTTATTTTTTATCATTGTTACTATCACTATCGCCATTACTATTACTTTCATTATCATATTTACACTAATACTAATAATACTTTTAGCACCATTATCTCAGTGACTATTATCATCACTATTATCATAATGAGAATGCTGATTACTGCTATCATTACAATACCTCTACCATCCTTTCTATGATCATTATAATTACTATCATTATCATCGTCGATATCAAGTTCATCATTATTCAAATCATTATCAAATAATTACCATTCTTTTCATCGTGAAGCGCCATTATCAGCACAATTATCTCATTATACTCCACCCAATTTTTATTTTTATTTATTTTCTCCCTACTGTTTCTGTTTTTATTTATTTTCCTTCTCACTGTTCCTCATTTTATTTATTTTTCTTCCCACTGTATTCTTTATTTCGATTTCAAGTAATTGTTTGTGGCAAATAAAATAGAAAAAATAAAATTCTCCACATAGAGATAAGTGCTCTGTAGTTTTAATCATTTCGTTGATAAGCCAGATGGTTATGTTACATCTGATTAATTGGCGTCTGTGTGACCTTCACTTGATAAGTATGTTATTCGTAAGCATTTTTTTTTTTTTTTTTTTTTTTTGTATTTATAGATGTATAATACGTTTATTATCCTGTACGACAAGTCCCTTTCGGTTTATCCTTCTCTCTCTCTCTCTCTCTCTCTCTTCTCTCTCTCTCTCTCTCTCTCTCTCTCTCTCTCTCTCTCTCTCTCTCTCTCTCTCTCTCTCTCTCTCTCTCTCTCTCTCCCTCTCTGGAAATTTGGATTATAGTTGTATAATATGTTTATTATCCTGTACGTTAAACCCCTTTTCACTTTGTCCTTCTCTATAATATATATACTATATATACTGTATATATGTATTTACTGTATTTAATGATTATGTATTTGGTTATCTCTCTCTATCTCTCTGTCGTAGCTCTCCTCTCGCTCATCTTCTTCTATCGTCCTCCTCTCTACTCTCTCTCTCTCTCTCTTCTCTCTCTCTCTCTCTCTCTCTCTCTCTCTCTCTGCTCTCTCTCTCTCTCTCCTCTCCTCCGTCCCCCTCTCCTCCCTCTCTCGCCTCCCTTCTCCTCCCTCCCTCCTCTCCCTCCCTCCCTCCCTCCCTCCCTCCCCTCCCTCCCACCTTCCTCCTCCCTCCCTCCCTTCCCTCCCTACCCCCTCCCTCCCCCCTCCCTCCCCCTCCCTCCCTCCCCTCCCTCCCTCCCTCCCTCCCTCCCTCCCTCCGTCCCTTCCCCCCCTCCCCTCCCTCCCTTCCCTCCCTCCTCCCTCCCTCCCATCCCCTTCCCGCCTCCTCCTCCTCCCCCTCCCCCCCTCCCCCCCCCTCCCCTCCCTCCCCCCTCCCCCCTCCCTCCCTCACTTCTCTCCCTCCCTCTCTCCTCCCTCTTCCCTCTTTCTCAATATCCGCCCATTTCCACCAGGTACCCGGAGGAGCGCAGCAGTCCCACCAGGAGGGCGAGAACCGAGTGCCCTTCGGTCCTTCGGCACCTCCCTCTCCCACGCTGGCGAAAGCTCAAGTCTCCACTCCCCTTTTCTACCCGTTAGTTTCGTGTGTGTTTTTTTTTTTTGGGTCCGTGTTGTACATGTATACGTACATATGTTATATACATACATATATACATCCGCTCACCCGCTTTCACCCGTCGCCCATCCTTACAGCCTCATCCTATACCCCCTCCCTCCCTCCTCACAACCCCCTCCTCACAACCCCCACCCCCCACTTCACTCGCCCATCACACCCCACGCCCACCTTCACCCGGCCCCAATCCTCAATCCTCACAACCGCAACCCCACCCCCCTCCTTCACCCATCCTCACAACCCCCTCCTCAACCCCCTCACAACCCCATCCTCATACCCCATCACAACCTCATCCTCACAACCCCATCCACCCACCTTCACCCGGCCCATCCTCACAACCCCCTCCTCACAACCCCCATCCTTACCGCCACCCGCCCCACCTCACCCGTCACCCCTCCTCACAACCCCTCCTCACAACCCCCATCCTCACAACCCCATCCCTCACAACCCCCATCCTCACAACCCCCCCTCACCCGCCCACCTTCACCGTTCCTCACAACCCCCATCCCACAAACCCCATCCTACAAACCCCCACCCATCCTCACAACCCCTCCTCAAAACCCCCTCCTCACAACCCCATCCTCATACCCCATCCTCACAACCTCATCCTCACAACCCCATCCACCCACCTTCACCCGTCGCCATCCTCACAACCCCCTCCTCACAACCCCCATCCTTACAACCCCACCCCCCCACCTTCACCGTCACCCCTCCTCACAACCCCCCCTCACAACCCCATCCTCACAACCCCCCCATCCTCACAACCCCATCCTCACAACCCCACCCCATTCACCCGTCTCGCCCATCCTCACAACCCCATCCTCACAACCCCACCCCCCTCACAACCCCCATTCTCACAACCCCACCCATCCTCACAACCCCCCATCCTCACAACCCCACCCATCCTCACAACCCCATCCTCACATCCTCCTCACAACCCCCATCCTCACAACCCCCATCCTCAACCCCATCCTCACAACCCCCATCCTCACAACCCCCCATCCTCACCCCATCCTCACAACCCCCATCCTCACAACCCACCCATCCTTCACATCCTCACCCCATCCCCAACAACCCCTCCTCACAACCCCATCCTCACAACCCCCATCTCCATCCTCACAACCCCCATCCTCACAACCCCATCCTCACAACCCCATCCTCACAACCCCATCCTCACAACCCCCTCCTCACAACCCCCCTCGTCACAACCCCTCCTCACAACCCCCCATCCTCACAACCCATCCTCACAACCATCCTCACAACCCCCATCCTCACAACCCCATCCTCACAACCCCATCCTCACAACCCCTCGTCACAACCCCCTCATCACAACCCCCTCCTCACAACCCCCATCCTCACAACCCACCTCCTCACAACCCCATCCTCACAACCCCCATCCTCAACAACCCCATCCTCACAACCCCATCCTCACTCCTCACAACCCCTCCTCACAACCCTCATCCTCACAACCCCATCCTCACAACCCCCATCCTCACAACCCCATCCGCCCATCCTCACAAACCCATCCTCACAACCTCCCCTCACATCCTCACAACCCCCATCCTCACAACCCCTCCTCACAACCCCCTCCTCACAAACAACCCCCCTCACAACCCCAAACCCTCACAACCTCACAACCCCATCCTCACAACCCCCATCCTCACAACCCCATCCTCTCCTCACAACCCCCTCCTCACTCACCAACCCCCTCCTCACAACCCCCTCCTCACAACCCCCACAACCCCATCCTCACAACCCCCATCCTCACAACCCCCCTCCTTCGCCCGCAGCCCCCACCGAAGTGACAGAAGCGAGGATGGCCCTGAAGACAGTGACAGTAATGTTCGGGGACGAGAGCCAGAGTGCCTACCCTCACGTGTGGCTCCGAGAGAACTGCCAGTGCCACGAGTGCTTCAACCAGGACGCGATCGCCAGGCTGTTCCTCCTCGAAGACCTGGACCTCGACATGAGGCCGAAGAACGTGAGGGTGAGGTTTGGAGGTTGGTGGAGGGAGGTTTCGGGGGGGGCGTGTTTGTGTGTTTGTGTTTTTGAAGTGGTTGTGTGATTATGTGATTGTGTTTTGTATGTGTTTGTGTTTTTAAGTGATTGCGTGTTAGTGTTTTATATGTGTTTGTGTGTTTGTGTTTTGAAGTGATTGTGCGATTGTGTGTTTGTGTTTTATATGTGTTTTTGTGTTTTAAGTGATTATGTGATTGTATTTTTAAGTGATTGTGTGTTTGTGTTTTTAAGTGAGTGCGTGTTTCTGTGTTTGTGTTTTGTAAGTGTCTGTGTTTGTTTTAACTGTCGTGTGTTTGTTTTTAAGTGGTTGTGTTTGTTATGTGATTGCGTGCTTGTGCGTTTGTGTTTTTTTTAAGTGTTTGTGTTTGAGTGATTGTGTGTTGTGTGTTTGTGTTTTATATGTAACTGCGTTTGTCTGTTTAGAGTCTGTTTAAGTGATTGCATGTTTGTGTGTTTGTGTTTTATATGTGATTGCATGTTTCTGTGTTTTGTGTTTGTAAGTGACTGCGCTGTTAAAGTGTTCGTGTGTTTGTGTTTTATAAGTGAGGTGTTTTGTTTGTTGTTTTGTTTGTTTAGGTGTTTGTGTTTTATAAGTGACCGCGTGTTTGTGCTTTTGTATTTTGAAGGGTTTTGTGTGTTTAGGTGACTCCGTGTTTGTGTATGTAGGTGTTTGTGTGTTTATGCATTCGTGTGGTCGTACTCTTAAGTTGTGTGTTTCATGTGTTTTAAATTTAAGTTTAGGTGATTTTACAGACACAAACCATAAAGAAAAATCACCCCCTCCCCCCCAAAAAAAAAAAATCACCCCTTCCATCACCTCCCAAAAAAAATCACCCCTTCAAAAAAAAAAAAAAAAAAAATCACCCTTCAAAAAAAAAAAAAAAAATCACCCCTCCCAAAAAAACACACAAAAATCACCCCCCAAAAAAAAAAAAAAAAATCACCCCTTCCAAAAAAACACCAAAAATCACCCCTTCCAAAAAAAAAAAAAAAAAAAAATCACCCCTTCCAAAAAACACAAAAAATCACCCCTTCCAAAAAAAAAAATCACCCTTCAAAAAAAAAATCACCCCTTTCCAAAAAAATCACCCTCCAGCCCCCCCCAAAAAAAAATTACCCACCAAAAAAAAAAAAACACCCCCCCCCCTCTTCCCCTACCTCCCCCCTCCTGACGCCCCTCGCTCTCTCCTGCAGGTGGAAGACGGGTGCCTGCGGGTGGAGTGGGAGGACGGGCACATCGGCCTGTTCTCGGGCCTTGGCTGCACCAGCGCGCCTTCACGCAGGAGGCCAGAGCGAAGCACAGGGCGCAGTATATGCTGTCCAGGGTAATGCTTGTTTTATGTGTTGTGTGTGTGTGTGTGGTGTGTGTGTGTGTGTGTGTGTGTGTGTTGTGTGTGTGTTGTGTGTGTGTGTGTGTGTGATAGAGAGAGAGAGAGAGTTTTTTTTTTTTTTTTTTTTTTTTTTTTTTTTTTTTTTTTTTGCTGCACTGGCGCATCGGTCAGCGTGTTGGTCTAGCAATCTTGCTGACCTGCGTTCAATCCCGCCAGTGGATGGTAACCCTTCCTTGCACACAAGGGGAGATGTAGAAGCAAAAGAAAACAGTCAGTATGTCACGGTAATCTTTAAAACTTTAGATGTTGTTATTGTATCACATTTTTTTTCTTCTTTTTGTTTTGTTTCTTCTTTTTATTTCCTCACTCCTTCTCTTTTCCATCATCGCCCCAACTCCCTCACCCTTTCCCCACCCCACTCCCCATCCCCCCTCCCTCACCCCCACCCACACACACCCCTCCTTCACCCCGCCCATTCACCCCCACCCTACCCCTTCCCCCAACCAACCCCCACCCCATCCACCCTACCCCTCCCCCCTACCACCCCTTCCCGAACCACAACCCCTTCAAGCACGACCCTCAAGTACGACCTTCGAGTACGACCCTCAAGCGCATCCCCCAAGTACGACCTTCAAGTACGACCCTCGAGTACGACCTTCAGTACGACCCTCAAGTACACCTTCAATTCCGACCTTTCTCTCTCTCTCCCCTCAAGGTCCGCTGGGGGTCCTGGCTTCCAAGTGCCACTCATCGACTACCAGAGCGCCATGGAGGACGACCGGGTGCTCCTCGACTGGCTCACCCTTCTGGAGAGGTTTGGAGTCGTCCTTATCACCAACGCGCCTCAGAAAGTCGGTGCAATTAACGACTTCATTAATAACATCGGATTCATCAAACCGACTCACTATGGGTGGGTTGTAGGTTTATTATTATCATTCAATGTTGTTGTTGTTGTTGTTGTTGCTGTTGTTGTTTGTTGTTGTTGTTTGTTGTTGTTGTTTGGTGTTTGTTGCGTTGTGTGTTGTTGTTTGTTCGTGTTGTGTTGTTATTGTTGTTGTTGTTGTTGTTTATTATTTCTATTATATTGTTATTACTATTATCATTATCATTATTATCATTATTGTTACTATTATTACTATTATCATCATTATCATTATTATTATCATTGTTGTTATTGTTATTTTTATCATCATTATCATTATTATTATTATCATTATCATTATTATTATTATTATCATCATCATCATTGTTATTATTATTATTATCATTATTTTCATTATTGTCATTATCATTATTTTCATTATTGTCATTATCATTATCATTATTATTATCATTTTTATCATTATTATTATTATTATAGTAATGATTATTGTTAAGATCATTATCATTAATTCACTATTTCTATTATCATTGATTTATTATTATTATCATTGACTTATTGTCATTATCACTAATTCACTATAATCATTATCGTTAATCCATTCTTATTATCCTCATTAATCTATCATTATTATTATTATTTATTATTTATGGGTTTGCTGTTATTATTATTCATTGAGTTATTATCTAATGACATTATTATCTAAGCAATTATTAATTCTATATCCATTTCTCTATCTATCTAACTGTTTATCTATTTATATTCATTTATTTATCTATTCGTTATTTTTTTCGCTTTTTTATTTTTTATGTGTACGTTAGTTTTTTCTTTTCTTTTTTTACGTTTTTTTCTTTCTTTTTTAAGTTATTTCTTGTTTCTTCTTTATTATGTGTACTTTTTTCTTTTTTTTATGATGTGTTTGGTGGTTTGAATTTGAGAAAATTAAAATGTCTCTCTGTCTATCTATCTATCTATCTATCTATGAATCTATAAATCTATAAATCTATAAATCTATAAATCTATGAATCTATAAATCTATCTAACTATCTATCTACAAATCTATAAATCTATAAATCTATCTATCTATCCATCCATCTACCTATCTCATTCACTCCCAACCCCCCCACCCCCAAAAAAAGAAAATATGATACCATTCTCTTTCACAAATGAGCTACCCCCCCCCAAAAAAAAAAAAAAATAATAATAATAATAATAAATAAATAAATAAATAAATAAGATAATAAATAAATTAAAATAAAATAAAAAAATATATATATACATATGATACCCTCGAATACCACTTTCTCATTTCTTTCCCAACGCAGAACGGACTACGAAACTGGTGACCCACGTGACCCCGAATAACCTGGCGTATACGGGGCCAAACTCGGTCTGCACACGGATCTGCCATACTACGAATATCCACCCGGGGTTACGTGTTGTCTGCTGGAGGGAGGGAAGGAGGGAGGGAGGGAGGGAGGGAAATGAGGGAGGGAGGGAAGAGGGAGGGAAGGTAGGAAGGGGAGAAAGAGGGAGAGAGGGAGGAAGGGAGGGATGGAGAGAGGAGGGAGGGAGGGAGAGGAGGGGGTGAGGGAGGAGGGAAGAATGGGGACGGAGAGAGAGAGAGAGGATCGTGCATTTTACTACGAATATCGCCGGGGTACGGAGGGAGGGAAGGAGGGAGGGAGGGAAGGGAGGGTGGAAAGAGAGAGGGAGGGAAGGAGGAGGGAGGGAGTCCAGGAGGAAGGGGGAGGGAGGGAGGGAGGCGAAGGAAGGAGGAGAGAGAGGAGGATCTGCCAATAGGAGGGGACGTGTTGTCGCTGGGGGAGGGGAGGGAGGAGGGAGGAGGAGGGTGGGAGAGCGGAGGGGGAGGCGAGAGGGTAGGGAGGGAGGAAAGGAAGGAGGGGAGAGAGAGAGAGAGAGAGAGGATCTGCCCATACTACGGAATATCCACCCGGGGTTTGTTTGTCTGCTGGAGGGAGGGGAGGGAAGGGAGGGAGGAGGGAGGGAGGGAGGGAGGGAGAGAGGGAGGGGGGAGGGGCGGAGGGGAGGGAGGGAAGGGAGGGAGGGAGGGAGGGAGGGGGAGGGAGAGGAGAAGAGGAGGAAGGAGGAACGGAGTGTGAAGAGGGAAGGGAGGAGAGGGAGGGAGGGAGGAGAGAGAGGGAGGGTCTGCCCATACTACGAATATCCACCCGGGGTACGTGTTGTCTGCGGAGGAGGGAGGGAGGAGGGAGGGAGGGAGGAGGAGGAGGGTGGAGAGAGGGAGGGGGGGGAGAGAGGGAGGAGGTCAGGAGGGTAGAGGTAGGACGGAAAGAAGGAGAGAGAGACGAGAGGAGAGAGGATCTGCCATACTACGAATATCACCCGGGGGTACGTGTTGTCTGCTGGAGGGAGGGAGGGGAGGGAGAGGGAGGGGGAGGGGTTGGAGGAAGGAGGGAGGGAGAGGGGAGGGTTTTGAGGGAGGGAGGGAGGGAGGGAGGGAGGGAAAGGAGGGAGGGAGAGGGAAGGGAGGGAGGGAGGGAGGGACGGGAGGTGAAGGGAGGGAGGAGGGAGGGAGGGAGGGAGGAGGGAGGGAGGAGGGAGGAGGGAGGAGGGAGCGGAGGGAAGGGAGGGAGGGAGAGGGAAGAGAGGGAGGGGGAGGAGGGAGGAGACGGGAGGGAGGGAAGGAGGGAAGAAGGGATGAGAGTGAGAGAGAGAGGATCTGCCATACTCGAATAATGACACCCGGGGACGTGTTGTCTGATGGAGGGAGGAGGGAGGAGAGGGAGGGTAGGAGGGAGGGAGAGAAAGAGAGGATGGGTGAGGGGAGGGAGGGGAGGGGAGAGAGAGAGAGGATCTGCCATACTTACGAATATGCACCCCGGGGTACGTGTTAGTCTGACTGGAGGGAAGGGGGGATAGAGGAGGGGTAGGAGGGAGGGAGAGAAAGAGAGAGGGGGAGGGAGAGGGAAGGATGGAGGAGGGAGGGGAGAGGGGAAGAGAGAGAGAGGATCGCCATACTACGAATATGCACCCGGGGTTACGTGTTGTCTGCGGAGGGAGGGAGGAGAGAGAGGGAGGGGAGTAGGGGGAGAGAAGGCAGAGGAAGGAGGGACGGGAGGGAGGGAAGAGGGAGAGGGAGTGAGGGCGAGAGGGAGAGAGAGAGAGGATCTGCCATTACTACAGAATATTGCACCCGTGGTTACGTGTTGTCTGATGGAGGCGAGGGAGGAGAAGGTCGAGGGTAGGAGGGAGGGAGAGAAAGAGAGAGGGAGGGAAGGAGGAGATGGCTCGGAGAGGGAGGGCACGGAGAGAGAGAGAGAGTAGTCAAGAGGAGTCTTGCCTACATATACGGAATATCCACCCGGGGGTACGTGTTGTCTGCTGGAGGGAGAGTGGAAGGGAGTGAGGGAGGGAAGAAGGGAAGGAGGGAGGAGGAGGAGGGAGAGGGGGAGCAAATCTAAGAAAAAAGAAATCAGATAAAATCATATCTTATTTTTTCTTTACAACCTAAAAACTGGAAAAAAAATCCTTCTTAGCAAAAAACAGGGAAAAAATATCCCCACCTCCCATTTTTTTTTTGCGACCTAATCCTAACCCCACCTCTCACAAGCTCACATCCCACCTCCTTAGACGACCTTGGCTTTCACTGCCTGCCCAACACGAGGGCAAAGGAGGTGACAATGACCTCGCCGACGGTCTCAACGTTGCCGACGTCCTTCGCGAGAGACATCCTGACCTTTTCCAAGTCCTGGTCGACACCCCCGTCTATTTTCAGGAAAGCCTTCCCCCAAATCACTTTATTGATTCGATAGATTCACGAGAGTCCCCGTTGTCATGTGGGTTGTTATGGTTTTTTATTTGTTTTTTTCTTATTCATTATATCGGAATATTTTTACTAAGTTATTTTCGGAGTATAGATCTATGAATCTGATTTTTTTTTTTACAAAGTCCCAATGCCTCTCGCGTTCTATAAATTGTTAAAAATCCGCCCTTGTTTATCAAAAGTATAAAAAAAATGTCACCATCCTCAACATTTCTGGTCTAAGAAATCCGTATGGAAATCCGATGAATCCGCCTGCAGGTAGACGAAACGCGAGCCACGTGCGTCGGATCCAACATCGTCTTCCCAGGCAGACGTGACCCCATCATGGACCTGGAAACAAGATTGGACCGCTCCTGGAGCAGTTCTATAAAGGCGCTTCAAGACCTTTAATAGTATCCTTATGGAACTCAGTATCAGTGTCAAGACCAAACCTTATCAGGTAATGAGAAACGATCTATTTTTGTTGTTGTTGATGTTGCTTTTTCTTTTTGTTGTCCCCCTCTCCTTTCTCCACTCTTCTTAATCTCGCTCTCCCTACTCTCTAACCTTTCTTCAACTTCCTCTCTCAACCTCTCTCTTAACCACTCTCCACTCTGCTTACCATTCTCCACTCTCCCTTCCTCTCTCTCCCTTCTCTCTCTCCCTACCACTCTCTACATTCCTTTCTCTCTCTATTCTATCTATTCTATCATATCTATCTATCTATATTATCTCAACTCCCCTTCCTCTTTCCTACCTGTCTCTATTTCTCTCTTACACTCTCTCTCCCTCTCCATGTTCCATTCAATCCTCACTGTTACCCTGAACCTCTCTCTAGGAACCTACTCTCTCATTCTCTCTTCCCACTTCTCTCTTTCCCTTCTTTTCTCTTTCTCAATCTACCAACACTCTCCATTCTCCCTACCTTCTCTCTCTCTCTCTCCCTACCACTCTCCACTCCCCACCTCCTCTTTCTCCTCTCTCTCCTACCTCTTCTCTCTCTCTCTCCCTACCTTTTCTCTCTCTCTCTCATCCTTTCCTCTCTCTCTCTCCCTACCTCTCACTCCCTCTCTCTCTCCTACCACTCTCTCCCCTCTCCCTACCTCTCTCACTCTCTCCCTATCCTCTCTCTCTCTCTCTCTCTCTCTCTCTCTCTCTCTCTCTCTCTCTCTCTCTCTCTCTCTCTCTCTCTCTCTCTTCTCTTCTCTCTCTCTCTCTCCCTACCCCCCTCTTACTCTCTCCCTACCACCCTCCTCTCCCTACCACCCTTCCCCCTCCCATACCCTCCACCTCTCCCCCCTCCCTCCCCCCCTCCTCCCTCCCTCTCCTCCCTCCCTCCCTCCCCTCCTCCCTCCCTCCCTCCCTCCCTCTCCCTCCCTCCTCCCTCCCTCCCCTCTCCCTACCACCCTCCCCTCTCCCTACCACTCTCCCCTCTCGACACACCCTTCCCCTCTCCCACACCCTCCCGCTCTCTACCCCCTCCTTTCTCCCTACCCCTCTCCCTCCCCTACCACCCTCATCCCTACCTTCCCCCTTCTCCCCACCCTCCCCTCCCAACCCACCCTTCCCCTCTCCCAACCCAACCCTCTTCCCCCTTCCCAACCACCCTCCCAACCCCGTTCCCACCCTTCCCCAACCACCCCTCCCCCCCCCTCCCAACCCCCCTTTCCCCTCTCCCAACCACCCCTCCCCCTCTCCCTCCCCCCCCCCCCTCCCTCTCCCAACCACCCCCTCCCCTCTCCCCTCCCCTACCTCCCCCCTCTCCCTACCACCCTTCCTCCCACGTAAACCAACCCCAATTTGTGACTTCCCCTCCCCTCTCCCCTCCCCTCCTCCCACGTTAAACCAACCCCAATTGTGATGACTTCCCCTCCCCCCTCCTCCTGCAGGCGACATCCTCGTCCTGGACAACACCCGAGTCCTGCACGGGCGCCAGGCCTTCGAGCCGGACGTGTCATCGGGTCCTCGGCACATCCACAACGCCTACATTGACTGGGACGAGTTGAGGTCGAAGAGGCGGGTCCTGCAGAGGAGGTTCAAGGTGGATCTTGCCTGAGGGGGGCGTGGTTTCAGGGGATGAATCTTTTTTTTTAAGTTGGATGACTTTTTTTTTTAAGTTTTCGTTTTTTTTTTTTTTTTTTTTTGGAATGGTTTTGATGTTTTATTCGGCGTGTTGTTGAATGGGTGAATTTCTTTTTTTTCAGTTTTCGTACTTTTTCTTTATTATTTTTTGGATTTTTTTATATATATTTTGTTTCGGGGTGTTCTTTGAGTGGGCATTTTTTACATTTTCGTTCGTTTTTTATATCATATTTTTGGATGTTTTTTTTTTAATTTCTTCGGAGTGTTCTTTGAATGGACGAAAACGTTTTTTTTTTAATTTTGGTTCGTTTTTTTAAATTATTTTTGGAATGGAGTGTTTTTTGAATGGCCATATGACGCTTTTTTATTTTAGTTTTTATTTTATTACACATTTTTATGTTTTCATTATATTTCTTCGCAATTTTCTTTGAATGGATTTTTTTTTTTCTATATGTATTTTTTTTTCTTTTGTTTTGCTTACATATTTTGTGTTCCTTGAGTGGTTTCTATTTTCTCTCGTTGAATATCTTATTTTTTTCTCAATGTTTTCTTTCTCTCTCTCTCTCTCTCTCTCTCTCTCTCTCTCTCTCTCTCTCTCTCTCTCTCTCTCTCTCTCTCTCTCTTCTCTCTCTCTCTCTCTCTCTCTCTCTCTTCTCTTCTTCTTCTTCTTCTTCTTCTTCTTTCTTCTTTTGGATTCTTCATGAAACGTCTTTTTTAAGTTCTTTGACAGTCTAAGTTTTTTTCATTATTTTTCTTTATAAATAGTTGTAAGACGCAGTTATAGTGTGACTTTGTTGATACAGTGTTTTTACATATAACGAAACTGTGATTTATGATGCAACACGTGTGTGATATTTGAGGTTTGTAACAAGCAGCTGTCTGTCAAGAGTGGCCATCCTGTGAGAGAAATTAATACACGAGAATATCATGAGGCGTTTCCTTACAAAGAAAGAAGAGAAAGAAAAAGAAAAGAATATTATTATACGTATATGTATAGTATATGTGTGTGTGTGTGTGGTGTGTGTGTGTAGTGTGTGTGTGTGTGTGTGTGTGTGTGTCTGTGTGTGTGTGTGTGTGTGTGTGTGTGTGTGTGTGTGTGTGTGTGTGTGTGTGTGTGTGTTGTGTGTGTGTGCTGTGTGTGTGTGTGTGTGTGTGTGCGGTTGTGTGTGCGTGCGTTGCGTGCGTGCGTGTTCGTGTGCGTGCGTGCCTGGTGCGTGCGTGCGTGCGTGTGCGTATGTGTGCGTGTGCATGTGTGTCTATTTCTTAAACCGTCAAAGAAACGTTTGGGAATCATCTAAAGTCCAGAAAGTACATTTAAACGTTTTAATAACAAACCATTGTTATACAAATACAAGGACATACTAGATAAGGATAAGAAAAGGGAACACGAAACACACAAAAAAGAATCATAATAATAGCTGAACACATTTAAAATAAACTTCCAAAAGATTACATAGAGAAGGTCACAAAGAAAAAAAATCAAATAGACACACAAGGAAAGCCCAATAGATTTTTTTTATAATCACAAATAACAAAAAAGGACCCAAACAAAGTAAAGAAAAAGAAAATAAACAAAAAACAAAAAAAATCCAAGAAAATAAAATAAAGAAAGAATAAAAAAAAACACAAAGTCCAATAAAGACCCCCTCAAAAAACACAAAGATATCAATAATAACAATAATAATAATAAAAAATCAAAGAAAGGTCACCTCAGGTCACCTCACAACATGCAGAACTCCGACCTCTCCTTGGGCCGGAACATGAACTTGACCTCCTTCAGGCTGGTCCACTGCGGATACGAGGTCGTCCACCACATCGTCATGAGAGTGTTGAGGCGGCCCGAGGAGGTCAGCGGTGCCGTCGGCTTGATGTCCGAGCAGGAGGCATACCACCACCCGCCGCCGCTCGAGTAATACTCCACGCAGTCTGGAGGAGAAGGAGGAGGAGGAGGAGGAGGAGGTCAGACTTCGAGGGTTAGGGTGGGCGAGGCTGAGATCTGGATCGGTGTGTGTGTGCGTACTGCAGATGCGGATGCACACATGCATGTACACATATAAACAAAGAAACAAAACAAAGACGTACGCACACACATATATCTTAATACATCTATGTATCTTAATATATCTATATATCTATCTATATACTTATCTATCTATATTCATCTGTCTATATATCTATCAGTCCATATCCATCTGTTTATATATCAATTAATCTATATTCATCTATCTATTTATCTATCTATCGTCTATCTATCTATCTATATATGCTCTATCTATATAATATCTATCTATCTATCTATCTATGTGTGGTGTGTGTGTGTGTGTGTGTGTGTGTGTATGTGTGTGTGTGTGTGTGTTGTGTTGTATATATATATATATATATATAATTCACACACCTATATCTTTATATCTATATTCATCCATATATTTATCTAACTATCGATCTATCTATCCATCGATCGATTAACCTTACACATATGCAAATACAAATAGGCAGACAGACAGACACGACAGGAGAGACAACAAACAACCAAACAGACAAACAACCAACAGACATCCAAAAACCAAACAACCAAACAACCAAACAACCAAACCAACCCGACAACCCGACAACCAGCCAACAGGCCCATCCTCCAAAAGCTGCCACACGCGACCCACCTACGAGCGAGAGTTTATCATTGTCTCTGTCCAGCGTCGAGAAGGCCATCCCGCTGATATTCCTCGAGAAGGTGAGCGGGTCCCCTAGGGTGCTGTTCGCCGAGTAATCGCCTACTGTCAACTTGTATCTGAGGGCGAGATAAGGGAGATAAGGACGTTGTCATCGGGAAGGATATGGAGATATCATTGCGATCTGTCTGTCTTCAGTTCTTGTATATGTAAATGTAAATAATTCGATTGAGAAATGAATAAATAAATAAATAAATAAAATAATGAATATAATATAATTATATATATATATATATATATAATATATATATATATATATATATATATACATATAATATATATATATAATATACATACACACATACACACACACACACACATAACTTTGTCTCTCCTCCTTCCCTCCCTCCTCTCTCCTCTCTCCCTCTCTCGCTCTCTCTCTCTTCCTCTCTCTCTCTCTCTCTCTCTCTCTCTCTCTCTCTCTCTCTCTCTCTTCTCTCTCTCTCTCTCTCTCTCTCTCTCTCTCTCTCTCTCTCTCTCTCTCTCTCTCCACCCAACCCACACCCTCTCCCCCTCCTCTCCCTCTCCCTGTCCCCACCCAAACCCCACCCTTTCCCTTTCCCTTTCCCCTTCTAAACCCCTCCCCACCCACTCCCTCTCCCCTACCCAAACCCCTCCTCTCCCTTTCCTCTCCCCTCCTAAACCCCTCCCTCCCATTCTATTCCCCACTCAAACCCCTCCCTCTCCCTCTCCTCTCCCCACCTTATCTCTTTCCTCTCCCTCCCTAAACCCCTCCCTCTCAATCCCCTCTCCCCTCCCTCCCACTCTCCTCCCACTCAAAACCCTCCCTCTCCCTTCCCTCCTAAACCCTCCTCTCCCTCCCTCCTCTCCCCACCCAAACCCCTCCCTCTCCTCTCCTTCCCCTCTCCCCTCCTAAACCCCTGCCTCCCACTCCCTCTCCCCACCCAAACCTTCTTCTCTCCCTCTCCCCACCCAAACCTCTTCCTCTCCCTCTCCCCACCCAAACCCCTCTCCCCCTCTCCCCTCCTAAACCCTCCCTCTCCACTCCCATTTCTCCTCTCCTCTCCCTCTCTCTCCCTCTCCCCTCCTAAACCCCTCCTCTTCCTCCCTCCCCTCTAAACCCCTCCTCCCACTCTCTCCCCACTCAAAACCCTCTCCCCTCTCCCTCTCCCCTCTCCCTTACCCTCTCCCTCTTCCTCCCCCTCTCCCACTCCCTCTCCCTCCTAAACCCCTCCCTCCCCTCTTCCTCTCTAAACCTACTGCGTCTCACTGGGGCGACGCTGAAGGTGCCCACTCGGCCCATCGACTGGCCCCGTCGAAGGCCTTCACTTCCAGCCGGAGGACCATGGGCTCGGCGGCCGTCATCTTGTGGAGAATATCGAGTCCTGCGAAGGAGCGGAAAATGTCTTGGGTTAAATCGGTTAAATCCCTGAAAGAATTGGAAAATACGAAATCTTCATTCCAAAGAAAACGTAAACTAAAATCTTCACTTCAAAGAAAACGTAAAGCTTTACTAACGGTAACTCAATCATTCCAAGTTCATCCGTTATTCTCACTCAATCAGTCATCAACGAGTGTCCAGCATTTATCTAAGTCATCCTACTCACCCAAAAAGTTCACCATCTGTCAGTCATCAACCAGCATTCATCCTTACTGTCAGTCATGCCCACACATACCAACCAAGTGTTTTACAGAATTGACGTCGCCAAGCCATCTCTTATTTCCCACTGCCTGGCCGAAGTCCTCTTGCACACTCTGCTGCTGCCCTCTTTCAGGAACGTGGTCCAGCTCCGCCACTCGAGGAGGTCATTGTCACACCCATACGGGTTGTAGGGCCATCGTTTCTGAGGAGGTTCGAAAGGCGAGGGTTAAAATGTTTTGAAAGGCGAGGGTTGAAATCTTCATTACGACAGTCCTCTTCTCTCTTCTGATTTTCCCTCTCCCTCTCCCTCTTCCCTTAAACGCCCCTCGTCTCTTCCCTTCTCTCTCTTTCCTTCTCTCTCTCTCTTTCTTCTCTTCCCTCTCTATTTCTCTCTTCTCTCTCTCTCTCTCTCCTCTCTCCTCCTCTCTCTCTCTCTCTCTCTCTCTTCTCTCTTCTCTCTCTCTCTCTTCTTCTCTCTCTCTCTCTCTTTCCATCCCTCTCTCTTTTCCATCCCTCTCTTTCCATTCCTTCTCTCTTTCACCCTCTCTCTTTCGCCATCCTCTCTTCTTTCCTCCCTCTCTCTTTCCTCATCTCTCTCTCCTTCTCCTCACCTCTCTCTCTCTCTCTCTCTCCCCCCTGCCTCCCGCATGTAGAAATAATGTTTGATTAACAGGCCTTTACATAAATATAAGCACAAGCCAGTACTTATATTTATCTGTAATATAATAACATGGATAGCTAAGTATTTGCATCTTACCCTGGCTTTTTTAATGGCATGTTACATTCAGTCAATAACTTTTATCAATCAAAATCCCTCTAATTTTCTCTCTCTCCTCTCTTTCGCCACCCCTCAGCCTCACCCTTTTCCTCCTTCCCTCCCCTCTCCCTTTTCCCCCCTCTCTCTCTCCTTCTCCCTCCTTCCTTCTCCCTCTCTCAGACTAACTTGGGATAGGGACACCCTCATACATAGTGTCCTTCACTGCTCCCTCTCCCTTTCCCTCTAAATTTTCTCTCCCTCTCCCATCTGCTTTCCATTCCTTCCTCTCCCTCGCCCCTCCCTCCCCCTCTCTCTCCCTTCCTCCCCCTCCCCTCCTTCCTCCCTTCCTCCCTCTCTCATCTTCTCTCCCCTGCGCCACGGGCCCCCCCCCCGCAATCTCCCTTCCTCTCCTAACCTCTCCCTTCTTTCCTCCCTTCCTCTCCCTTCCTTCTCCCCGCCTCTTCCCCTCTCCTCTTCACTAATTCTCTTCCATACCTTCCCTTCCTTCCTCTCTCTCTCTCTCTCTCTCTTCTCTCTCTCTCTCTCTTCGTCTCTCTCTCTCTCCCTGCTCCCTTTCCTCTCCCCTCCTTCCCTCCTTCCATCTCACTTACTCTCCAAGCTCTCCTTCCCTCCTAAACCTCTTCCTCCTTTCCCTCCCTGTCCTCTCTCTCTCTCCTCTCTCTCCCCTCTCCCTCCTCTCCCCGCCATCTTCCCTCCTTCCCTCCTTCCTCTGCCCTCCTGTCCCCTCCCTTCCCTCCATCCTTCCCTCGCTTCACCCTTCCCTCCCTCCCTCCCTTCCTCTCCCTCCTCAGACTTATCCTGGATGGGAAACCTCATACACAGCGTCTTCGAGGCGCCCCTTTGCAAAAATGAGCCTCACAGTTGCTTGGTCTGCGGATAAAAAATGAATCATGTCTTCATTTCACTAATCTTGTGCACTGGTTAAGATAATGGCAAATGCGATGGTGATGGTGGTACTAGTGATGGCATATAATGAGATTAATTAATGGTAGTGATGATGGTGACAGTGGTGATCATGATAATACCATGCGAGAGATATAAATATTATGAGCCAGTCTCCTCTTCTATCTCCACTTCCTCCTCCTCACTCATCTCTTCTTTTTTCCTTCTTCCCTCTTCTTCTTCCTCGCTCCCCTCTCCCCCTCTCCTTCCTACTCATTATTCCCACTCTTCTTCTTCTTACTCCTCCCCTCTTCCTCTCCTTTTTTTCCCACTTTCTTCTTCCTACTCTCCACTCTTCCTCTTTTTCTTCCTCCTCCTTCTCCTTCCTCCTCCTCTCCCTCCTCCTCCCTTACCTCATCTCATTCTTCAGCGTCCCCTTCAGTTTCTCGTTTTCCTCTCCAGTATCCTTGATCTCTGCTTCGAGTTCTTGCACCTCCCACTTCCACTCTTGTCTCCTCGCACTCACTCGCCCTCCTCGGTCGCATTTTGCCGCTTCCCAAGACGTTGATCTTGTCCTCCAGCGCCTCCTTTTCCTCCTCCAGGATCGAGATGACGGACTGCAGGTTCTCGTTTTCTTCCTGGAGGTCCCTGTGGTTCTGGCGGAGGACCTCCGTCTCGTTGTCTCTCTTCCGGGTCTCCTCCTGCAGTTGGCGGACTTGGTCGAGCAGCTGGCGGTTGTCCTCGGAGATTTTCATCTTGTCCTCCTGCGTTTGTCTCCGGTCTTCTTCCACCTTTCGCCTCTCGTCTTCCATCTTGCGTTTGTCTTCTTCCGCTCTTCGTCTGTCTTCGTCGGACTGGCGCTTGTCCTCCTCGACTTTTCTCACTTCCTCCTTCACTTTCCTCATCTCCTCTTCCGTCTGGAGGACCTCGGCCTTGAGCTGCACGTTCTCCGTCCTCAGCATCTGTTTATCCTCCTTGAGCTGTTGGTTCTCGGTCTTCATTTCTGCGTTTTCGTTTTCCATTTTCTTGATTTTCTCGTCCTGGTCTCGAAGTTTCACCAGGATGTGGCCCGTCACGTTTTCTCTCGTGAAGGCGCCTGGTGAAGAGAAAACGTTTAAGGGGGGACTCAAAGAAAAATATATTCATGATTTACATAAAAAAAAGATTTACAAACATACACATAAACACAGACACACAAATAACACACACAGCACACACACACACACACACACACACAGCACACCACACACACACACACACACACACACACACCACACACACACACTACACAACACACACACACCACAACACAACCACACACACACACACACACACACACACAGCACACACAACACACACACACCACACACACACACACAGCACTTTTTTCCAAGAAACATTACATTTCCAATTCATACGACCATATCCTCAAAAAAACAATAATTTCACTCACTCTCTCCCTTATGAATGAAACTGCTCAGAACCGACGACATGTTTTCTACACTGGATCGCATCATCGCCATCTCTGCAAAAATAATAAAAATAATAATGAAATAATAATTCAATTATTTGTGGATTTATCTCTGTCTGTCTGTCTGTTTGTTTGTGTGTACGAGTCTGTCTGCTTGTCTTTATCTGTTTGTCTCTGTAAGTATGTCTGTCTGTCTGTCTGTCTGTCTGTCTGTCTGTCTGTCTGTGTCTCTCTGTCTGTGTGTCTCAATCTGTTTGTGTCTGAAAGTCTGTCTATTTGTATGTCTGTCTACTAGTCTCTATCTCTTTTTTCTGTAAGTCTATCTATCTATCTGTTTGTCTGTCTCTTCCTTTCTCCCTCTCCTTCCCTTTCTCCCTCCTCTGCATCTCCCTTTCCATTTCCTTCTCCTTCCCATACCCATCTTTCTTCTTCTCCTTCTCCCTCTCCCTCCCCCCTCTGGTTCCTTAAAGGCATAGCGTCATTTCGTTCAACGTAAAAAAAACATGTACCGCGTATTTACATAAATATCTTCTTGTCTTTTCTTTTTTGCTAAATAACATTTCAATTCACGACAAAACATCTTAATTCCCTCTCCATCCCCCTCCCCATATCCCCCTCCCTCTTTTCCCTCTCCCTCCTCTCTCCCTCTCCCTTCCTCTGCCTCTCCCGCACTCCTATCCCTCTCCTCTTTCGCCTCTCCTTCTCCCCCCATCTCCCTCCCCTTTCCCTTTCCCTTTCCCTCCCCTCCCCCTCCCCCCTTCCCTCTCTATTTTGTTACCATTTCCCATCTCCCCTCCTCCCACTCCCTTCTCCTCCCTCCATGCCTCCTCCCTCCCTCTCTCCCTCTCTCCCCTCTCCCCTCCTCCCCTCCCTCTCCCCCTCTCTCCCTCCCCATCCCTCTCCCCTCCCTTTCCCTTCCCATCCTCCCTCCCACTCCCACTCCCCTTTCTCCCCCTCCCCCCCCTTTCCTCTCCATTTTGTTACCGTCCCCTCCACCCCTCATTCCTCCCACCGACCAACACCCAGCTTCAGCTTCTCACCGCGGGAAAAAGTGGAATCCTTCTGCAGATACTCCGTCAGCTTGCTTCCTCCATGGCGCGCATTCCCTTCAGACACAGCTGGAAGATGAGGGTGAATAATATTATTCAAATATTTGTATAATCATTCATAGAGCCACAGCTGGAAGATGAGGGTGAATAATATTAATAAAATATTTGTATAATTATTCATAGAGCCACAGCTGGAAGATGGGAGGTGAATATATTATTAAAATATTTGTATAATTAAAGAGCCACAGCTGGAAGATGAGGGTGAATAATATTATTAAAATATTTGTATAATTATTCATAGAGCCACAGCTGGAAGATGAGGGTGAATAATATTATTAAAATATTTGTATAACTATTCATAGAGACACAGGTGGAAGATGAAGGTGATAACATTATTAAAATATTTGTATAATTATTTCATAGGACACAGCTGGAAGATGAGGGTGAATAATATTATTAAAATTGTAAAGTTATTCATCAGAACCACAGTGGAGATGGGGTGATAATATATATAAATATTTGTATAATTATTCATAGAGCAAGCTGGAGTGAGGGTGGATAATATTAATAAAAATTTGGTATGCTTATTCATAGAGCCACAGCTGGAAGAAAATGGTGAATATTATTAATCAAATTGTATATTTATTCAGAGACAGAGACAGAGACAGAGAGAGAGAGAGAGAGAGAGAGAGAGAGAGAGAGAGAGGAGAAGAGAGAGAGAGGAGAGAGAGAGAGAGAGAGAGAGAGAGAGAGGAGAGAGAGAGAGATAGAGACAAGAGACAGAGCAGAGACAGAGACAGTGACAGAGAACAAGA